AAATTTAGATATTTAAATATTTGAAAATTTGAAAATGAAACGCGTTAATAAACGAAAGATTCTAGTGCCAGACACTTTCAGTGAAGCCGAGAGCTTCACAGTATTCAACATTTCCAAATATAATTATCTATAATTGCCTTCATCGCGGACACAGGTTCCGTAATTTTCAACGTGTCCACATGATGTTTTCCATCGTACACTCGAATACCGTATCCAGCAGTGCTTACTGCGAGCAAAGAGAGTCCGATTTGTGGTACTGGCAGGCTCACTGAGTCCAAAATCGCTCCCGGAACTTGAACGTGCCAAAGTTTAATCCCCTGTATCATTAAAATTTCTTATTATCCCTCAATTATTTTGCACTTGAAAGAAGAATCTCTAAGCGCACCTTTCTTGAGAAACCAATCAAAGTTCCATCCATAATGGTTACCGCGATTCCGTTATTATTAAGCGTCGAAATATTCACAGCTGGTGAGGGTAATTTTTCCCAAAGTTTCACTGGACTTCCCTTTCTTACCGCGCCTATTCTTCCGTCTCTCCCAATCATTAATATCCTTCCATCGCCTGCCCATAAACCAGTGCAAGCAAACGCGACTGGAGGCCATTCTAACAAGTGTTTATCCATCACGGAAAACGTCCTACGATCAAAATTGTCCACATGGAAAAATGTATAAGTAAAAGAGTTACACAGATAAAGTTTCTAATTAGAGAGGAAATTTTTGAAATTGTAACCTTTAGTAAGGATCCAAAATAAGAATTTCTCCAAATTGTGTGCCGAATACAAGATAACCACATGCTGAAATGAATTCTATCCGACTTTTAGGGTGCAATCAAAGTTTTATTTAAAAATAATGAAAACAGATAAAAAATCGAGATAATTTCCATTATTGTTGACGACGTTCTGCCATTTTTCTGGTAGCTTGCGAATACCATCACGATAGAAACTCGGTGGTTTTGAATTAATTATGTGAATCCAGTCGGGAAGAATTTATTTCTATACTTAATAATTAAAGGAGAAATTTGAAATAATCTCTACCGAGGATCTAAAATAAGCATTTCTCCAAATTCTGTGCCTAGTACAAGACAACCACATGCTGGATCGTTCCACGTGTCTTTTCGTATCACGGCAAGAGCGGGTAAAGGGTTGCTTTTAACCAATGGAACTCTTCTGTATTGCTCCGCGAAGCTGGGTCTTAAATTTGGGTCCATAGATAGAAATTTTAATGTACGTGGAGAGATAAATCCTGCTCCGAGTTCTTTTAACAATAGATCCAGCTCGTCGGCTAACGTGAGCACGTTTAATTCTTCGTCTAGTCCAGCCTTGTGCCAAATCTGCGAATACATTCGGTTTTTTTTTCACATTCTTCGAGTAAAGAAACAAGGTTTGATCCAAAAAATATCCTAACTGACGTCATCAAATTTTGTTAATAAAAAATTATTCTAAATTAAAATGGTCTGCTTCGAAATAGTATCTTTTTACACTTTCACACTTCTGAAAATACTTTTTACAGGCATTTATAGAAATTGCTTCCAGATCAGTCTTGGAATTTTCTTTCGTTTCTAGATTCCTTTTAAAAATGCGTCCTTTTAATGAGCTATTCAGTTTTAGTAGCAAAAGATAAGCCACACAAAGCTAAGTCAAGTGAGTAAGATAGATGGAAAATAAAAATACCTGACTTTTGCTAAAAAGTGAATTGAAAAATCTTGGAAGTAACAAAAATCGAATTACAAAATTCACTATAAATCTCGAAAAGAATAACCTTTCGATATAAACTCAAGTTAAATCGTCATCAGTTTTTCTCTTCACTTACGAAGAGATTTTTTGCCAATCTTTTGATCAAACCTCGTATATCAACGTTACAAAACAAAGGTTCTCCGTACTTCTCGCTCTTTTGGATGCACGTCAATATGCGGCAAAGAGTACTTAAAATAAGGTCTCATATTTTTGAAGATGTAGACGCTAGAACCAACTCCCACTGCTAACACGGACGATCGGGGTTCCCCGTTTTCCGTGTAAAAACCAACCACTCCGCAGGGTGGATTTATCATGTTGTGTTCCGTCACTTGATCGCCTCCTTTGTAAACTCGTATCTGAAACGACGAATCGGACGTTAATTGTTAAAAAAAATTCTGATAAAACACTATTTATAGAAAATAATTCTTAATGGTCCTTTACTTCAGGTAGCACACGACGTCTTAGAGACGTCCATTTTTAGTCTAAACGATGTACATAAAATTGACGTCTTTAACCCTTTGAGGACGATAGACTCATATATGCGTTCGCAAAACACTATGAACGCAACTAATAAACTTATATATTTTTATGCAATACGGTTGGTGTAACCGCGAACTCATGCGCTATATTTGAGGAAACCGTAATTTTCATATAATTTAATTAAAAAAAAAAAAAACTGAAGTAGTGAGCTAATTACTTCAATTTGATACTTAGTCCTACGTCCGCAAAGGGTTAAGGCGTTTTTAAGACGCTTCTAGAACCAGCGGATAGTGCTTCACAGCTCCCGAGCAATTCTTTTTGAATTAAGAATGCTTAGGGACTTGGAAACACAAGAAAACCGGAAATGAAGCAGTAAAAATGTATGAAAATTTCAGGTTTTGTAGTATGAGACAAGTGTTTTGGCACACTGTGCAGCGCCACGTCTCAAAGATATCTTGATTTGTAACGCTGGGCGTAGTTCAGACGTCTTTCGTACATCTTTAGTCTTTTACTCAACATTTTTAATAAGTCTGTGTGCTATTTGAATTAAATTATTCCGAATTTTCATGCTCCATTACTTTAGCAGAATTGACACTGAGTGTCCCCAAATCGGCGCAAATAAGCCTAGCATCTCCATCGCCAGTCACATCCAACATATCAAGCGCATTTGGCAAGGTATACAATTGTGCAGCTGGTTCCCAAAGCGCTTCTAGCCATCGACTTGTACCGAGGCCGCCGATATTGTATTCAGCTCTGAAACATTATACAGAATAAGAAAAAAGATTATTCTATTCTGAACATTTTTTCATCTTTCTAAAAAAGTTAAAAAAGTAACGGAAAAAAATATTATACTTTTTTGTAAATCAGTCAAAAATGTATTTTTTTTTTCAGATAGGCGAAAAAATATAATATATTCTTTTATATGCCGTAGAATTTTAATAATTAATTTATGTATACCGTGAGATTAAAAAAAAAGGCTAAGAATAGGTGCTTTTAGTAAAACGATTTTTAAAACGATACGTCGTAAACAACAAATTTTGCAGCCGTGGTTAAACATTTGCACACGTTGCGTATTAAGATCTGTCGCGACGAAAGGATTAATCTAAATCCAGATAAACTCGGAGGCGAGTTAGTATACTCGAGTACTCAGACTTGAATTTCGACACCAAGTTTGGATTATAATAAGTATTTACAAGCTAGTAAGAGCTCTTTACTTGACACGTACAAATAATAGTAATAAAATATATCAATTATTATATCTTACCTTAACCCGTACATATTTGAAGTTTCTTTCTAATCCTTTAATTCGAAACGTTTCTTTCAATCGAAACGCATCGTTAATTTTCCTCTTTAAAGACTTCTCGTATGCATTCGATGTACCGTGCTATAGTGTAACGCGGAAAATTGTCATATTGCCACCAATATGTCGAGTCTCTTAAACGAATTCTTTTTTTGAATGAAAAAAGTCGTGCACTGAACTAATCGCAATTTCTGGACGAAAGAAAGATCGGTCATATCGAAAGATGATCTGTTTAAAAGATTTTGGTAAAAAATGCAACAGTACCAGTACTACATGCTTTGTTGTGAACCTTTGTATCCATAGAAATATGTTCGTATGCAGGGAATATCGATGGTCATGCGCAGCTCGTCACATGCAATATTAACACATTACTTACCGGCAGTGAATTAAACATACAAAATACCTGTTAATTCGATCTCGAACTCTTTGGTAATTCGATAAATAAAAACTTACGACATCGTTTCTTCTGCAGATTGTTAATGATTATCAATAACAGCTATTCAAACAGCTAAGATAACAAAATGGTTTTGTGTTCATTTGTTAAAAAGATAATAAAATATTTGAAAAACAGCTGATTTTTAGTCGACCGGTAGATAATCGAAATCAACAAAACGCTGCGTTTTAGGCAACCGATCGATAAACGCTGGCAGCGTAAAGCCTATTAATCGGCTGCCGGTAAGTAGTGTGTTAAGAAGAACCAGTTAAATTGTAACAAATCGAACATGATTCAAGATAAATATTACACAATTTCATTGAATAAAAAATTGTTAGAATCTACGATTTGAATGCACCGCGAAGGATATTTTCATTTCTTCCTTACGTAATAGTTACGTTATTCTTTTTTTTTTGTTTTGGCGTCTCTACGAGCGCTTTCGCGCGCGTTGTAATAAGAAGCTGCTTGGCTGTTGCGTGAAGTAGCAGTATATATATTGTCATATCGTGAATATTATATTAAAGCTGTATCCATATATTATCATTAAAGTGTTCTCTGTATTTAATACGTTTACGACGGGGTGTACCACCCGTGGTATATTCATGTCTGTCCCAAGGGACGGGATGCGCCACCGGTGGTACACACACAATTGTCCCATCGGGCGGGCTGAGCCACCGGTGGTACATGAACGATTGCCGCGTTATAGCAATTAAAAAACTGATTACTGTAATTAACAAATTTATTTACATCTTTATATACATAAAAAAACTATTCATCTTTGTGAATTTCTTCAAAACATTGTAAGCACAAAGGCGGCTGATTGTTGCAAAAAGGGCAAAACGTAGTAATGCACTTGGCTTTTTTTGCGGACATGGTCTTTTCCTTCGATAACGTGTAGGAGATTTATCTAATGGGTAATTATTTTAAATGAAATTCGAATTGGAATTGAGGTTATAATACATATACAAACGTTACATAATATATTACTTAAAAATATAAATCTTGAAATATGTGCAGAGCACCACCCAGGAACAAAAAAGTTATGTAAATTATTATAACAAAATATTTATTTTGTTATACTGCTTAGGTGAATAACAATAGTCAAGTGCAGTTCTGACAGAAACAACAATGTGTGTTCTTATTTTGAACGTTTTATGTTCACAAAATATGGACGATGTTAAAATAAGTAGCATATAATTTAGTTCAAATCAGCGCCGCCAGATGAGAGAAAGTACGAAAAACAAAGCAGTCCCACGCTAAGGACAGTAAATTCAGGCCGTTGTAAATTCAGAACGTTTGAATCGCCGAGTCTACCAAAAAACTATAAATGGACTTAAGCATTTTTCATCGATACTGGATATATTCTTTATGGTATATTTATTTCATTTTCTTTATCCAATTTTTGGTTTGCAGAAATGATTTCAAAACTCAATTTTTTCTTTACTATGTTTATAATACAAAAAATAGCAGTAGTTACAATTATTAGTCAAATCATTGTCTTTCTCACGTGTTCCGTCACCTTCGGAATTCAAGTTCAAACAGACCTGTCTGTTCCAACATAAACACTCAAGTTACAGTTACTGTCGCGTTAAGTATTCCTGCGTTACGAAATAAAACATTATTGTGAATTCAAATAATTGAAATTTCGAAGGGAATCTTTTTACAAAAATTATTTCTTTCTTCACGCTTTGACAAAATACAATAGGTACGATTTTTATCTCGATAGTATCCAGAATAATGTCGTCACCAGCAACACTGAAGAACAAAAAATACGAACAATTAGTGACACCGTTAACTTACCTGAAAAATACTTTGAAACTGCCGTCGCGAAAATTATGGAAAAAAGACGATGTCAGATTGAAATCGCCTGGTGACATTTGGAGCAAATATAGAAATGCGGATAAAAATGAAAAATGGAATTGCATTGAATCTCCGCAATTCATCGATTTTTCGAATTTACTTAATGTGGAAGATGCGTATTTTAGTAAGTTAATTTCCATCAATTTAAAAAAAAAATAAAATTCATCGTTCCCTTCAACTATTTCTTTCTCTTTAGATAAATTAACCGTAGTTGTAAGCACGCCGAAACCAAACTTGGAAAATGATACACTTTCGAACACGATTACGGATGCCGGTGCGTCTTTAGCCGAGTAAGAATTATTGTGAATTTCTTCGTAATCAAAACCATATTATTTCCTTGTATCCAATAGTAGAAAAAACGATCGTTTAAATATGTTTCCAGATCTTTGAATAATTTCCGTTTGTCTGGTATAAAACATGAAATACCTGATTCAACTGATGAAACGTACCAGAACTTTAACAACGAAAACGCGAAAATTAAAGAAGAATATGTGGTTCATATTGCCAATGTTCAAAGCGTATGTAATATTAAATTTGTATCATTGACATTATCGATTGCTTGGTAAAAATTGTGGTGAACATTTTAGGAGGATAAAGTTAAAAATGCGAAGTGTAACAAAGTGAAGAAACCACAAAACACCTTGGTAAATCCGTTTACATTTGATTTACGAGAAAAATACAACGGGGGGAGTAAACAGAAACGTATAAACAAGGTATAAAAATCGTATCTTTAATCTGGTAAAATTATTGAATAGTTCTATAATACTTCAATTATCTGCAGATTTTAGAAGAAGAAAAGAAAGTAAGAGTATTCCGGGCAAAACCGGCTCCCAAGTTTATAAAGCCTCGAACAACTTTTCATGGTAACAGTAATAATAATAACGAGAAAATGAATGAAAACGCAAACGGAAACACTCAAAAAACAAATTCTTACCAACATATTAATAAAAGTACTGAGGTAATTAAGCGAGTCAAAAGTTGTATCCGAATTGAAACACGTATTTTAATTGAATTGTACATTATGTTAACAAACAATAAAAACGTTTATCGGTTCCGGATATAATTCAGCTTTGGAAGAAACCACCATTTGTACCATGTTTGCCGAGGAAAAATTTGAAGGTACCAAAAACACCACTATTGCAAACAACGACCCGAGCGCAAGAAAGAAAACGCTTTGACGATGATATGAAAGGAAAAGAGAGACAAAAAGAGCAACTGAGACAAATGGTAATTATGACATTTTAAACGTTATTTATTAAAAATATTCTATTGTTAGGATGAAAATGTTATATGTTGATGAAATGAAAATAACAGGAAATTGCTGCTAAGAAAAAACAAGAGCAGCAAGAAATTGCACATTTGAGAAAACAAATTGTGCACAAAGCTCAACCAGTTCGTAAATATAAAACTGATTTACCGACAATTCAGAAACGACCACTAACTGATCCTGTGACTCCACAAACGCTAAAACGACGCCGTTATGTATAGATATTTAAAATCACTGGTTTACATTTCTTAACAAAAATGATTCACATTGATAGTAATGCTAATTTAAAAAATATTTTTCATGTTTTTATCTTTTTACCATCTGTTTTGCAGGTAGATAAAGTTTACTTGCAATTTACGTTTTAAATAAAATATTGTAATAAAAAATTAATATAATCGCATAAAGTATTTTACACTGCAATTAAATTTAGATTTTCCTTTGAAATATATTAACATGTCTGTTTTAATATGTTTACATACATAGATACATTCATGTGTACATCATCTTGATTTTATAAATTTTGTAAATAAAGGCAATTTCATGGAATGTATACTTTTAATCGTTAAAGTAACATCTTATATATGTATGACATAACAAGTGTCCAGAATACATTCATATATGTAAACACCAAATAAATACTAGTCAAAGTATTAGTTTTTATCGAGAATATGTAGATTGTATTACAATGTAAGTGAGATGTATTTCTTTATAATCTATGTCCACATGATTATCGCAGCTTTATGCTGGATAAAACATTAACAAAGATGAGTATTAACATGAAATAGTTAACATACATAACAAGCTCACTATAATATATTATAACATATGCATAACATACACATATACGTATATAGATATATTAAAGATTGCCAAGGCATTCTAGATTATATCGATATTTCTAACGTACGATACTTATAAATATTTAAATAACCGACAAACAGACATACACAGTAATTACAAAAATGGATATTCTTTAACAGCATAAACCTTTGCCTCTTTAAAAGCATGAAGTTGTACTACATAAATTGTCAATTTTGTACCTTTCTTTTTAAATAACGAAATGTGCGCGAAAGACGAGCTTCATTCGGGATCATTATACTTAATGCGAAGTATAATATGTACAAATGAAATGTATTAAAAATATACATAATAGACGGTCATTTAAAATTACGCTCATTGTACAAAGCCCAGAAAATATGTTTTTAAACAAGTACTTATGAAAATGAAATTATATTGAATATCTCTCGCATACGTAAAAACATATATCGATTAAAATAATAAAAACCTGTCAGTCTTCTTTTAGTATATACCTTATACAGTTTAAAAATACAGATACTGTTGAAATAAAATCATGTAGAATACCACATTCCGTTACTTTTGTCTTAAATTTAATTGTAGACGTGTACGCACATACATCTGTTTACGAGGTTGAAAACGTTATTTGGTGGAATAGTTGATTCAGTATCTTACTATTTTTTAATACATTACTTGATAAATTCACTCATTCATTCCATTAAATTTATTATGTTTAATATGAAAATTAAACAAATTCCGTATATGATTTCTGAGTTAGAACATATACAAACTTATAGTAGTACTATAAAATAATATAAAAAGCTGTATCAAATGGAAATATAAAAACATAATAAATTATACAAAAAAATGAATGCATTAAGAATGTGGTGTTTTATGATTGTAAAAAAAGAAGAAATAATCAATAGTTATAGTAGAGATGTAAACGCTATGGTGTACCACGAGACTCTGTACACCCGGCGGTATAAATAATAAATGCAATAGAATATAGTCCGTCACTGCATAAATTCAATCTACTTCTTCCTGATCCTTTTTTTTCGCCTTTCACGACATATCGCCTTTCGGCGATACATCCCAAGGACTTGCATCACAAATTGGTATCCAACTAAGAGGCTAACGCAACCATAGAAGCAACAATAGCAAACAATGTTCCAGTGAGGAAGAACCCATGGTTTGCCATGACTGTGCAGATGCTGGAGCACTAACTGTCGCGACTTCTGGCAAGACTTCAATACACCACGCAATCAACAAGGAAGTTTCTCTACTTGCAACGTGCAATATAAAGAAGAAAGAAAAATTTGTTATTAACTAAGAAAAAGTTTTCTACAAAAATTGTTCCTCCCCGAATGAAATAACAAAAAAGTAGCACCAAAAGTGAAGAGAGCAAAAACAGCTGAAATAGCTAGCTTGGAAGCCCAATAGTCGTAGAAAATTTTTTTTGAGATATCGAGACCTATCAATCCCATCACATCACCTTCAAGCAAGTCTATATAGGAACAGTCATACATAAATTAACTGAAACAAAAAGAAGTAAAGAGCCTTCGGGATTGAACAAGCGACTAACCAATGTACCGGCGAACAAGCGAAGAATTTAGAGCTTGATTATCGTATTAGATTTAACTTATCTTCTATCAAACAAATCCATAATACCATCACTCAAAAAATTGGTGCATACATGTGGTAGGCAAGCTTATAAAATTAAACATGGATTCTTCCCATCACAACCTGAGGCATCTTCTAAAAGCGTTATTGTTCACTGTCTGCAACAGGATAAAATTGGGGTCCAAAACATACTTACATATACAAATAATTATCTTAAAACTATTTTGAACACAGCCAATGACACATTAGTGACACATGATCATAGCTTTATATAGGACATAAGTTACACATAAACAAGTAATTTCCAATTCAAAATCTGAAATAACATATGCCAGGGTTATAATTATTTTCTTTTTTCTCAAAATACTGAGCATACAGAACAACTACTGAGCTTCACCTTACTGAAGTAATGCTGATGATGGAGATGGAGGTAGTGACGGCGATGGTGGTGGTCTTGTAAAAGTTTCTATTTCGTTACAGTGAAATTGACATACTGTACTAGATGTACTTAAAGTAGACTCTGAGCACATTCCTCTTCCTTTAATTTTCCTTCTAGTCCTACTATTATCTGTACTTGCATCAGGCACGTTTCCAGACTTGTTTTTGCGGAGGTAATCCCATAATAAGTTTAACCTGCAATAGTTTTTGCGCAAAATTAATTTCCAAAAAATTGTAATTACGCGTTAAGACATTTACCTTGGATATTGAAACTGAGCAAAATGAGATGATGGACCTATAATTGCTAGTACTGGACACAGAAAAAATGTAGCATAGATCCAACTCACACCCATAACGAGTAATAAAAATATACCAATTTGAATGTATGCCAATACGCATGAAGGTAACATAAGAGCACCAGCGGCACCGCTTGTAAGAGAAGCCATTAATGTTGGACCACCCATTTGTGTAAGGGCTGTTTTTACTCTATCCTTTCTCTCTTTAGAAGTACACGCTCTATAACTTACTACATAATGCAAATTAAAATCTACAGTTAAACCTAAAAACAAAACATATTTCATTATATACTTTACAAAGTATCAAATTATTATATCGATAAATACCTATTGCTGTAGATACAGCAACACTTTCTAAGACATTTAGTTTCCAACCAAGAAGAATTAGACCAGCAACTGTTACTGTAATTTCAGCACCAATTGTTAGAATCGCGTATAGACTGATAAGAGGATTGAAGGTCACAAAGGCCAATACTACGAGAGCTAGGATTAATGAAACTCCCATTGCCCAAAGAGTACCTTCATACAATGTTCGCTGTAATTCATAAAATTCTAGTCTACTAACAAACCACCCACCGCGCATTCCCAATGGAGCATTTCGTAACTGATCTTGCATCCAAGATTCAACCTGTAAAAATATATGTATTTTCAGGCTTTTATATTTCATTAATTACATAATGTAACTATATTTATAAAAATATTAAAAAAAATTAAATTAAATTTCGTGAAAATATTTACCTGATGAAAAAACTGATCCATACTTGAAAAGGAAAGACTGTAATTATATATACTGTCATATTCGACGACTAGAGCTTTAATTTTAGGTATTGGCATTATTACAGCATTTGTTTCGTTTAGTACTTGTAATTGCGTGAGATTTGGTTCATTTAAAAATTTTAAACCGGCAAAAACACCATTACGAACCCACAAGTACGAAGGTGTGCGATACATTTCCGCACTAGCTGCAGCTGCACATCGTTGTAACGTGCTTGCATTATATGGAAATGTACTTTTTTCACAACATGGCATATAATTAATATGTGAGTCAATAGGATCTTCACAACGTCGTTGCATCCAGTTATTTAATGATTCAATAAAACAATTAGGAAGTAAAGGTCCTAAAGTACTGCGATAGAAAGGTTGAGCTCGTAAATCGCGACAAAATTTTTCCAACCATAATTGTGACTCTGGATGAGATACATCAAAAGATTCATCCCATTCTGGTGTACCAATTAGACCAGGATCTAAATAATTGCCGTTATCAATTGGTTTAATGCCCCATACAAATCTCAATGGCAGTACATCTCCATTGTCAATCTGCAAGTGTTAATTGTTCAGATTTTTGTGAAAGATATACTAAAAAAAGATTTGCATAATTTTTTATACATACTGTTTCGTGTTTTTCAAACCAGAATTTACGAGAATATATTAGGTCATATTTTTCGAATGGATGAGAACTATCAAATAATTGGAAATTAGCAGTATCTGGCAATTGTAGGCCTGGATATTGAAAAACAATAATACAACATATTACTGCTATGATACCCAGGCTTAACAGCCAACACCATCGAAAATTAATAACTGTCCTCGTAAGGAAAGTATTAAAACCTATTGTTACTTTATCCCCAAACAGTCGTAAAGGTCGTATAATTTTTCGCGTTATAAAATTTGTAGGTGATAAAACACCTAATCTGCATCGTTCTGATACAACGACACATGCCGGCAACCAAGTAATCATTAAAAAGAAGTTCGCAATGACGGTTATGCCTGAAAATAAACTGAACATTCATGCCGTTAGTAAAGTTTAAAGTTACATTCTATTTAAAACTTTCATCCTCATCAAACAATAATCTAAAAATACCTGAAACAATTTATAGCGGTAACATTGCTAACAACTGATGCAAAGAATGCTACTGCAGTAGTTAAAGATGTAACAAACATAGATGGAATAGCATGTTTCATTGTTTCTTGCACCAATCTAACCAATCCATTACTTGATATTTTTTGTTGCTTTCCTCTCTCCCAAATTTTACAATATATAAATGCATCATCTGCTCCTATTCCTTGATATAAATGAAATTAAAATTTTATATATCATATTATTGAAAATTGTAATTTTCATTATTGCATATATTATTATAATCACATGTATTGTAGTTTCTTACCAACAGCTACGATGATTGCCAATAGATTCATAAATGGGAAAAACTTAATATGTAAAACTAAAGTATACAATGCATATGAAATGCCAAGACTAAAAATTACTGCAATAATTGTTGTGATAGTTAATAATAAAGAGCCAGTATATGCCCATATACAAATTGTTACAAAGGCAAAACCAGTAAGCAATAAAATAGAATCTGACACCAATAATCGATCAAACAGTGTACTTTTTAAACCCAACTGCATTCCTTTCACGCAAAATTTTCCGTAAGATAAACCACCATTGTTTAATCCTTTATAAAAATCTAAAGTGGCAGAACTTGCAGCAATGGGCAAAAATAACATGCCATATCTTAATGTTGAGTTTAATTCATTTTGAGAATCTTGCTTCTGTAACAAAACATTAAAAATGTTATTTGTAAATGGTGTAGATATTCATAATACATTCTCCTATTAAGCAATTACTTTTCTTACATGATCTGAAATAAAATCAACATCCAATAAGTAATGTAACAAATGATAGGCTGCATTATGCATGTAACATTCAGCTGGAACATGTCTTTGACAATTCAAGTCTTCTGCACAATTTGATGTTAAATGATGATTTTGATAAAAATAAACACATCTTTTTAAAAGTGTTTCTACCCGACCAAGATCATTTTCTGTCACACCCAAGCAAGAACTTCTATTGGACAAAAGTGCAACATAATTTGCTGGTGACCAACTTCTACAACATTTCTGTTCTGCATTATTGTGCTCTACTTGGCATAATGAAGAAAAGTGAGAATTTGATCTAATCTCTGCATCAATATAACATTGTGCTAATACACCTTCCATTGACCATAAATTTGTATCTTTAGAGTTTCTACCAATAACCACACGTGCATAAGCAGAAGATGGTAAATTACAAAAAAAATTTTCACTATCCACATGATCTTGATTTTTATAATCCTTTACAATATCGAATTTATTTTTGTTTTTTAACTCTATCAATTCTTCCCATTTATCTTTAACTTCAATTTTATTTATTTCTTCTTCTTTATTATTTGCTTGTTTTTGAAATTTTTTTCCTCCTTTTTTCTTGTTTTTAGGTTTTTTCCTTATGATACCCTGGCCAACCCAGCTATGATTTTGTATATTAATAGAATTCTGTAAGTTTTAAAATATTGTAACATTAGTCCATGAAACCAATAAATTTTACTTCAATTACAATATTCTAAGTAATAATTTAAATAATTTATTATATATACACTATTGCATATTCCTTGATGAAAGTACCTGTTGATTTAATTGTTGCACATAATTGTAATATTCTAAAGGATTATCAATTAACTGTCCTTTTGGTTTATTTGCTTCTAATAAATTTTGCCAAGCTATAAGCCTTTGTGCTAATATTGTACCTCTTGCTTCAAAACCCTTAATAAAGTAAATAAAACATAAATTAATAAAGAAAACTATTTGTATTCTTTATCTTAAATTTCTATTTACTCACTAATTGAGGATCTGAGAAGTCTGGAAACTTTTTAACAGCTAAAGGAACAATCAAACATGTTGAAGAGAAAATAAGTATTGCCATTAAAATGGTACAAGGATGATGAGCTATTACTCGAGAAAACCACCACACTTCCATTTTGACAATTATAATTCCTTTAAACTTAAGTCATATTTTATTGTAAGTTATTGTAATATAAGATGCAATATATTGAAGTAATGTTGACCCAATTCTTGTCTAAATTAGAGGTTGTCATAATATTATTTTTCAATCAGTTTTGAATTTGAAAAAATACACAATAAAAATACTATCTTGTAGCATAATACTAGCAAAAATTTGCTTTTGACATATGCAAGCCTAAATACAAATCACAGAATAAAACACACAACATAAACATTTTTTACTTAAAGTTTTGCACATATTTATGCTTTTTTTTATTGTATTCCATTAAATCTGCAAGTTTTTCGCATAACTCGTTTGTATATTGTTTTAAAACTTATAGTAATAATTATAAACGTATAAAAAGTAAAATAATAATCACTATTTACGGAAGAACCTTTGCTAAATATATTATAAAGGAATATAATTTTATGCAAAACGTTGAAGCATGATTCTTTAATTTAAAAAGCAACATGGACTTCCCACTTAAAGGGGTGGCACGTGTTTACATCACAGTACAAATGGAATGATCCATGGACCTAAGGACTTATGATACATACGCATATGTATATATGTGTATACAATTTTATAGGGTACAAATTATTCGTTAAAAGAAACAGAAAATTTTTGCAATTTTTTTCTATAAAATCAATACAGTATTAACATACATTTTATTTGCTGCAATGTACATAGTGTTGAAATTAGTTTTACTAATTCAAAAATTTGATTCATTCCATACTAACTTTTTATTAATTACAAAGTTACAGAATTAGAAATTATTTTAAGAAGGTAATTCAACTCTATTAAACAAAATACATAAAAATATTTAAAGGATAACATTACAATTTCTTATTTCATACATATATAACTTTTCAAATTATACATATTTCACAAAAAATTGGTAAAGAATAAACGTTCAAAACTATCTTGAGAAAGAAATTATACTTATTAAAAAATATTTGCTTTTTTTTTTAAAGTAGTTCATCTTAGAACATTTTTAACGTTTTAAAGTAATAATAAATAGTTATTAATTAAAATTTATAATTTTAAGCAATTTTCAACATTTGTTTCGATAATACAAAAGTTTTGACAATAATGATTGACAAAAGTTTTAAACATTATATAAAATTGTGTTCTATTCTTTAGATAAAAAGCCATTTATGTACAATATTAAGGTGCATTTTAGTAGTATTGTAGTTTCTTTTTGTGCTTGCTAGAATTTTTATGTTTTTACATTGGTATTTCTCAAAATTACACGTGATGACAACTGATTCGTGTTTTGTAGTACAGTGTGACAGCCAGACAATATGTATGTATAAGCATACGCGTACAATACACGTGTCCACCTTTAAGATCGTTAGATTTTTAACTGAAACTCTACAAATTAAATAAATATTACTTAATTTTATGATTCAGTACAATGTAAGTATAAATTAAATATTGATAATTTCTTTTTTTGCAGATTGCTGTTAACACAATTTATTAATATTTATTTTCTTTATAGATGAACAGCATAATAATAATATTTTCTCTTTTATTTATAAATACTTTTGTCAAATCCACGAAAATAGATAGTAAATTTTTAAAATGCTTGGGTATGTAAAATAATTTTGAGCAAATATAAATAATAAATTGCAATTAGATCTGATAAAAGTAAATTACACTAAATTAATATTAATAATGTATAGTTTGCAGATCAACAGTAAAAGAAATTGAAGGTGAATTAACAAAAATTGATCCTTCAATAGAAATTGAGATAGGTAATTACAGGTTGGATGCACAAGGAAATATTATTCATAAAAAGGTAAAATTGAATTTTTATATTTGATATATATTACAAAAGAAATATGATTTTAATAGATATTACTATTTGAAGGTTCCACTTGCTCAATCTGAAGTACACATATCTGATGTCTTAGATAATATTTGTGAAAAAATGTCAGACTATGTAAGAGCAACATATAAATCAAATGGTCAATTAACAATTTTAAATCTTATGGGCCCATCTGGTGGTATGAATCCTGAAATGAGCAAAGTTGATATTATTCAGGATGCTGATCTTAATAAAAGTTTAAAATATTATGTAAATATTTTCATTTTATTTAAACTTTAACATTCAATAATTTCATAAAATATCATTGTATTATTGTCTTTATACCTGTTACTACTGTTTTATTATATTTCAGTGTGAGGGAATAGTGGAAGAATTTGAAGACTCTATAATTTCATTGTTTAGACGTAAAGAAAATAATATTAAAAAACAGTTATGTACAAATGCTGCAAAACTGTGTAATCCTACAGATTTTAGTTATGAAGATGATGAAGATGTTGAGGAAAATGACATAGATGAAGAACATGATGAATTATGATAATGCTTAAAGAAAAAATTATACATTAGGATTAATATATTTTTGATATTCAATAAATTCAAGTGTAAGTATACGAAAAATTCAAGTTTTCGTTTAAATTTATTTGACATTAGTTTAAATACTTTAAACCATGCGTTTTGTTAAATTGCATTAAACATAATAAAGGTACAAGTGAGTCGATGAAAAAACCGTTATAATCGTTAGATAATTTAAATAAAACGGTAACGTAGATTGATGTAATTGGTAGAGGGCGCTCTGATCGTCGAGTAACGTACATATAGTTAGTGCTTCTTAGAAATTGTTTTATGATCTACGGTCTTCATACCCAGGTTTCTGTGCGCGCTTGTTTCGTCTTCGTTCGCCGCCATCATTACGAAGACGAAAGAGGTTGGTTTTACTCATTTTCGCGTGGTAGTGTCATTACACAGAAGCCAGCACAAATGAAGATGGTTGATAAAATAGACATGAGTCTCGATGACATTATCAAGCAAAATAAAGGGACTAGACCACGCGGCGGTGGAAGCAGACGTGGAAGAGGTGCCGGTAATTCACCTCGTAGAGGAGCACGCAGAACGCAAAGAGTTGGTGGTGGCGTCATGCGGGGACGCAATCGTGGTGGCATTACAAGAAATTCTCTTCCGTACACAAGGGTAAGAAATGAAATTTACTTTTTGGTAAAATTTTCGCTATTTACATGATACTTATTCTGTCACGTGTACCCTACATCGAAACCTATCATATTACTTCCGCCTTTAACGCTTGTGTATAAAATACTCCAACTTACGGATAGATTAACGATTGTATTTCAAGATACAATAGTCTTATAAGATAGAAATATGATTCATATATGATCTCAAGAGGAAACACATGTACTTCTAGAGATTATTTGATTCAAAATTCTTTAAAATTTATCGTAGTCCACGTTCTTATAATAGGGCATTAGTTCATTAGTTTTAAGGGCAATTATGTGTACCATTTTTTATACGTTTACATATTTAAATTTAGAAATAAAAATATTGAGTGTTTTTAGGTTGTAAACAAATAATGTGAAATTTTTAATTACTTCAATGCTTTTAATTGATTTGAATTTTATTTTAATATTTTATTACAATACACGTGTAATTAATATTAGTTACTAAATATTGCCAAACACTAAAAGTTGTATATAATAACAAATGTGACTTTCATTCATAGGGTGATGTAAACAGTGCATGGAAACATGACATGTTCGATGGGGTAAAAAAGGTTGGCCGAAGTGCAATAGGTAGTGCAGGAACAACCAAGCTCCTTGTATCAAATCTTGACTTTGGAGTATCAGATTCAGATATTCAGGTATTATTCAGCAAATTTTTAATATTTTGTGTTTTTAATTGAAATATTAAATAGATATTCATATACTTGTAATTCATGAAAATAATAAAGAATTATATATTTTTAAAAGGTAAATATTAAATAGTTTCAAAAAGAAATAAAAGTAAAAAATAATTTAATGTTAACTGTTTGTAATTATTAAGTGTAACAAATTTACAATAATGTATATATTTGTGTGTTTCTAGGAATTATTTAGTGAATTTGGTCCCTTAAAATCAGCAGCAGTACATTACGATAGGTCAGGTCGATCTTTAGGCTCTGCAGATGTTATATTTGAGAGAAGAGCAGATGCTATTAAAGCAATGAAACAATACAACGGCGTACCGTTAGATGGTGTGTAGTTGAATTTATGTCTGGACTATAAGTTTTGCTTTGAATGTCTCTTTTTAATTATAAAATTCCGCCTACATTTAGGGTTTCAGTATCACTTATTAATCAGGTCTCCAGTTTATACCTAACAACATACAGTTTGAGCATTTTCTCTTTTATCCTTCCATAAATACTCCAACATGGGATGACATTAAAGAAAAACAAATTTCAAAGAAGTTATTGTGAATTATGATTTGCACAACTATTCACATCTATTATTGCAATATGTGGTATACATCGGCAGGTCGTGAAATGAACATACAAGTTGCTACCTCTGAAATACCAGTCACATCTATCCGTGGAGGCCCGAGACTTAGCAGCAGTAATTATACACAGAGACCTCAATCCCGCTTTAGGGGTAATCGTGGAGCAGGATCTGTCAGAGGTATGTAATTGAATTACATCATAAAAGATCGGTAATTTATTAAAAAATGTATTTATGTTGTTTGTTTATTAATTTACTTCTTTTTTTCCCTTTCTTCAAGGTCGTGGAACTGGTCGACGTGGAGGCAGAGGAGGCAGTCGGCAAGTGACAAAAACTCCTACCGCTGAAGAATTAGATGCTGAATTGGAAGCTTATGTGAAAGAAGTAAAGTAACAACGTCACAAACCTTTACACTCTTAAGATTTTGTTCTGATCTGACTTAACACGATACAATGTGTTTCCCTAATTTTCATGAGAATATATAAAAATAAGTATAACTGTATCATTAGCAAAATGTTATAAGAAATTCCTTTTAAGTGAGTCTTTTTTTTATTTTTGACGTTTTCTCTGGAAATTGGCATACAAGTTTTACAGACACTTAAGAAAGATGATTTGTAGGAGTTCATAGATTTTTTTATGGTACCGTAACAAAAAGAAAAAAAAAATAAAGTTATGATGTAAAGACTGTATGGATTTGTATGTACTATCGTGCGTGTGTGGTTATCAGATGAAAAATACAGTAAAATTCATCTTTAAAAGTTGTTGTTTATCAAAGTACAGAAGTGCTTCTAGCCCTTAATCTAATTAGTTTTTACGAATTACTAAATACTGAAATATTTAAAAATCCATCTTTGAACATAGTTTACACATTGAAACACCTTACTATATACCATATGTCTGTCACTATGTTTAATAGTATCAGATCTTTGTAAATTACGTTTAACGAATTGTTTTTTACCATGAATAATAAAAAATACCACTATATGTAGCTAATAGCTTATAGTGGAATAAGGCTGTGACACACTGTTATCTAGTCATCTACTAATGAAATATTTTATTGTGCAGTAATGGGCTTGTAAGACAATGTACACGCTTTTATTCATGCAGCGTATGAATGGCAATGCAGTGGTACAAGACTGAAGCAAAGAAACTGACGAGTCATTACCTAATAAAGAACAATGTTCTAGAGAATAAAATCATTTTTATTTCCCACCTAACAAAAAATTCTAGAAAAAGGATATGAATTTTTTTAATAACTCGTCGGAGATAACTTAGTTTTCACATTATAATTTTTCTTTAAATTCGTAGAAAGACGATTTTTTTATAGCTTTAAGGTGTGTAGATATATGAAAAGTGGGTAATTATGAATAATCAGAAAAATCAATGTTTTGTTTGAAGAACATTCTTTATTTTATTTAAATAATCACACGAGGTATCATTTTGTACATATGTAAAAATATTTACTAATAGATACCATAGAGTGGGTTATATTACTTTCCACTCCTGATTGTAAAGTAGATCACCACAAAGTTGTACTTGTTTGTATCTTAGGAAGTCATTTTTAATGCTTCTAGAATTATTAATTTTCTAAATACTTAATAATAAGATCAGTCGAGTTTAGATAATAAATTTTTACTATGCAATAATTGTGTACAATATGAGGCAACGTTACCACACCAGTGTTTTAAATTATAAAAGATAGATAAATTATGTTAGTTTTTTTTATAATCTTTTGAGTGTCCTCTTCTTATCTTTTAATATTTTTTTCTTTTCCGCCGATAGTTTTTTATCTCCTGCATGCTTTTTCGGGAGAGGTCCTCCGACTTCAGAGGAAGTACAACTTTCAAGACCAACTTTTCTACCTTTTCCACCTCCCTAAGTATTCATTTATTATGATTTACTTATCGGTGGATATATGTATATGGATCAATTTAACATATCTCAATATTGTTTTACCTGTGCATGTATTTCTGTCATCATTTTCGCTCGTTCTGAATAATCATCATACCTTTCTAAAAGTAATTTACCAGCTTCTTCATTTAAAGCAGATTCTGCATTTGGCACTATTAAGAGACATTTTACAGTCTACAAACATGAATAAGTTAGCTATATAAATTATCCGAGATCTGATTTCCAATCCTTTTTTAAAGTATTAACACAAATTTCTCCATTTTTTGCAACATTTGGATGAAAAATTTTTGTAAGAAAAAATGCCTTTGGTGGTCCTTGAGGAAAGTCTTTGCCAAGAGCTAATTTTACTCTGAAGAAACCACCAGCATATGGCGTTCCAGCTGGTATTAGAAAAATTGATATTGTTAATGCATGAGTATTATAATAATAACAATAAACCTTCGTGGACTTTAATGAAATGAACATTATACATATAAATTAATGAATACCTAATATTAGATGAAAATTTTGACTGTACATTGTAAGTAAACAAATGAGTTTTAAAAATTATATTATGAAGAAAATGAAAACTTAGAAATTTTATCTTTATCAATACTGAAGGTAAATGACTTTAAGATTAATTTAAAGATATTAATACTTTGATAATGGTAAATATAAATTTATATCTATGTATGTAAGTATATGGACACATTTGTAAGTATATATACAGGAAAATCTGATGTATGAATAGGTTATAATTCAGTAGTTATACAACTTTCTTGAACCGCATATAATATTTGATTGGAATTTTACAAAGACAGTAATTACGTGGGCTTTAATCTTACAGGGTCCTTCTATGATAGCTTGAATATCAGTAACATCTTCTTCGTTTAAAATAACATGAATACCCTCGGGTGGTTGTGTAGCTAATTCGCTCATTTCTTTAGCTACACGTCGAATAATTTGTGGAGATAAGTTTTCGACATTTGATATCTGAAACAATAAATTATAATGCAACATTTATTAACCCCAGGAGTAAGATATATTAGGAGAAATCTCTGTCCTTAACCAGAATATAAACAAGAAGTACCGCTGTTAAAGTTCGTAGATAAAAATTAATGCGTATCATCAGGTACTTACAGAACTTACAGCAGCCATATTTAGCAAATTTTGAACAAAATTTTAACTAAACGCGTTTAAGACGCGATTGTTTGGTGTATACTGTTAGAAAATCTTTAACGTCACAACATCGGTACAGCATCGCCTGCAATAACCAACATTTTGAACTGATAGCCAATCGCGTGCAAGTTACAATAATCTCGAAGCTAGAAGTCGATTCTTCGTCATTTCGTGTGTTTTCGAGCAAAAAGTATCCGGCGTCTCTGAGTTTTACCGAAGATACATCACAGTAATCAAATTAAAGAATAAAAAAATGATCGAATTAAACAGAACATAAAGCTGGAGAATGCGAACAAAGTGTAATTGCATTGCACTATAACTTCGACGTTGTTTCAAGTTCTTGTCACAGTATACTGCATCTTTAGTCATAGCGAATTTGAATATTTTATTTAGTAGCCAGAATGTCTGACAGTACGTCAATAGAAAGGGTAAGATTTTATGTATACTTCTAAAATATCGAATATTTAAAATATGGATAATGTATTTCATTTAATATTTAACTAAGCAGGACTTTATGTATCAAATCATGTAGTCTTACTGTGGTAGAAAAATCAATGACAGTGACACTCATTTTTGTTCTCAGACAGTATGATCTTATTGCAGGAAAAATATACAAAACAATTAAAACGTAGAATGGAATGTTGGCGTGAAGTAATACTTCCATTGAATTCTATTCTACTATGGGACCGATCATGGTACCCTGGTCTTATATTTGCAATTACAACCACAATATTTTTGTGAGCAAAAACATTATAGTAATGTATAAAACTGTATTCTTTTTGTTGCAAATTATTTACTTTGCATACTATTTCTTATAATTATAAAGCAAATACATTTAAGTACTGTTATTTATAAAAATTGTTTACAAATTTTACAATTTTTACAAAACGTTTACAAAATTTGTTTGTAGTTTGATATGGATGCTGGAAGCTGCTGTACTTACGATAATATCTATATCTCTTCTTGTGTTGGCCTTGGTTGACTACATTGTACCACCTTTAACATCCTTCTTATGTCCTGTTGACAGTTGGACAGGCCAAAAAGAAAAAAAATTAAATGAAATTTGTCAAAATTTATCTACAGTAATTTTACAGTTACAACATTTGTGGAAATCAATGTTAAAAACTCGAAATGATCGTCCTAATGTTGTAAGTTCAGAAGCTATGTATTTGGTACAATAAGCATTAAGTACAATGTTTATAAAAAAAATTGTGTTAAAGTATTTTTTATGTTCTTTAGTATTATGCAGGAATAATAACTTGTCTCATTGTTTGTATATGGATTGGAAGCACAATCAATAATTTACTTCTACTATACATTGCAGGTAATAACTTTGTACTTTATTTTCCTGATATTCTATTTTAAAAGTTGTATGTGTTAGTATCAATTCTATTTTGTTGGAATGTTACAGTAAATGCTCTTCTACTTATGCCAGGACTGAGACATAAAGGACGTGCAATATCATCTATATCATTTGTGCTTGTTCATTTATCTTATGGTAAAAAATCATAATTGTCGTTTTGTATGTATGTTTTTCTCTTTCTTCTCTGTGAGACTTTTTATCTACAATAAATTAATCCGTAATTTATTAATTTGTAACTAGGGACAACTAGCTTTTCAGCTTTTTGAAAGTATAACTAGAATTATGCTTTTTTTTTGTTTTGTCATTTTATGTGATATTTAAGATTACAATTCGCTTTACATGCACTTTTATACCATAAATGTATTTACACATTGTTCGTCATTCATTGATAATAATAAAACAATTTCATATTTCATCAGCGTTTATTTATACATACAAAAATAGTTACCTAAATAATAAAACTTATATGTTTAGTTTATTATTTTTGTTACTCAATAGCAATTAAATTATTACATAATGTGTATTATATCCTATATTATTTTACATTAAGTTTATCTACATAAAATAGTATAAAATATTTTTTAAATATTCAAAAATGGCGGGTTCATTGAACGAAATATTCTGCAGCGCTGAAAACATAAACGTGTATACTAATGATTTATCATGCGTGTACTTTGGTCAAATCACCTTCGATCGAAGTAAACATCATGAATAGAATGACAAAAAGTTCGCGATTATGTTACGAATAGTCAAGATTGCAAACTTTTTGATAACCGTTAATGGACGGTGTTTGGTTTTCGTGTTAATTCATTCGGGTTAACTTTACATGTTACGGTACTGATGCTTTACATTAATTATTTATTCGTGCTTATAAAGAAACTTTACTGGAACGTAATTTTTGAGTTCAGTTTCGATTAGAATTTATTAGAATTATTTTGTTCTCAAAATATCCATTTTTTCATATTATTTGCAACAATTATGGATATAGTAATAAAGTTAAACGAACAGACAGTAGGTAGAGATAAAATTATCAGGTACGTAATTTACTCACTTTATTAATCATTTTAATTATACAATTCACGTTTTCGTGGATCTTGATTGGTATATAATTATAGTTTTATGCTTTACATAACCTGTATTTTCATATTATTTTATTTAATGAATGTTGAAAGTATATTGTCTTTGATCATAGTATATCTACTCCAAACATTATAAAAATATATTTCAATTTGATTTTAGAAATTAGAAATATGCATCTTCTATGATTAATATAATTAATTAAATAATCAGGTAATAACAATATTGTGTATTTATTCTTTGGTATCATGTTACAGATTACTGCAATATGGAAGTCGAGCTTATTGGTATTATGCTCAGAATATTCGTAGTACCCAACATTCTGCAGAAATCTTGAGAAGTTTAGAATATACATTTAGTTCATTTAGAAAATGTATATTATTTTAATTAAAAGTCATAATTTTAACATAGCTATCATTGTTAACATTTAATTTTCATTTTCTTGTAGTATTACGCCTTGGAAGATGTTTGGATAGTTTATATTCTGCTTTAAAAATGATGAAATATCCAGATGTAGGTTTGAGACTCACTTTGACATTGTCAAAAATTGCCAATGCTCTATTTCTACTAGCAGATCATATAATTTGGATTGGTCGTGTGGGATTACATAGGGTTAATATTGAAAAGTGGAGTAAAGTATCTAATAAATACTGGTTAATGAGCATTATTATGAATCTTATAAGAGATTTTTATGAAATCCTTAAAATTCTGGAACGTGAAGGAAAAGATGTATTAATGAGTAGACCAAAATTTTCATCTTGTTCATGGAAGCAATATGAATTATTATTTCATCTAAGGAATCATAAAGCTATTGTAATGGATGCAATTAAGAATGCATGCGATTTGTTTATTCCATTGACAGCACTAGGTTTTACTAAATTTACCCCTGGGGCCATTGGCATATTTGGTATGATATCTTCAATTGTAGGTATTTATACATTAATTTATCCATTGTATAAGGTAACACCAGCTTAAAACTAATTTGCATAATGTATTATTTTTTATGTATGTGACATATATATTACAAATATTTTATTTAAATTAAAAAGAATATATTATTAAATTTGAATT